GAAGGAATGATGTACCTCAGTATAAAACAGAACACAAGATAATAGTCATTTCAAATCCACCCAGGACAACAATCCCATAAACTGAACAAGAAATGCCCTTAGCCGCTTGTGCTAGAATCACTGGCTGGTGATGGAACTCAGAGACAAGATCTGTATCAGGGCTGTCTCATCATTACTGTCATCATCAGCCATCAGACGTGTGTGTACAAGGCCTGAGCAAACACTTATTTTCCAGGTTGTATTATTACTGCTGGGTTTCATTCACTTTCACTCCTAGCATTTTAGAGACAGGATAAAGAGAAAGCAACGTATTCTCTTGACCCAGCTGGTAGCTTTTATAATTTGTTGATACCTCACTGTGTGTGTGTGTGTGTGTGTGTGTGTGTGTGTGTGTGTAGTTGCCTGTAGTCCTGCCTGACCTTGGACTCACAATGTACCTGTGGTTGACCTTAAACTCAAGATCTTCTATCTAATTGATAATTCCTTTATCAGAATTCAAAAGTTTAGTGGTAGCCAGTTAAGTACATATTGGTATTCATGGGGAGGTAAGATTAGACTACACAAGGCAGGAGAGGGGCATGCTTGCAGGCATTGGGATGCCACAGGAACCAGGGGTGTCTGATCTGGGAAACCCCAAGAAAACATTGTTTTGGTACTCCGGTGTTTTAATTTATCTCTATTAAAGAAGGGTTACCCAGGGTCCAGGGTCCTCTTCACTCACACCCAGAACAATGCGGTCTGGGAACAATTCCTTGCCTACCGGTTCTTCATGGAGGAACCTCAACCCTATGACCTGTGCAACTCTGTCCAGGTGTCCTTGTGCTCTTCCTGTTTCCATCTGGTCAGTGAAGACTGCAGGGACATCTTAAACCTGTGCTGGTACTTTTCATCCTCAAAAGTTCTTCTAAATTAACCTCAACGGGGTTATCTTCAGTGGCTTTGAAGAGATTTTTGTGGGTGGAAAAAGAGGAACTTTCCAGGGCAGTGAATCAGAGGGAAATGGGGGCTGCTGATTCTGGATCAGTCACAGGTCAGAAGCCCATTAAGGGGGTGGAGAAAAGATATGGTGGCGAATAGAGGAGGGAGTGGGGGGGGCGGGGGAAGGAAGGAGGAAGGTGCTCGAATAGAGGAGGGAGTGGGGGGATGGGGGAAGGAAGGAGGAGGGCGCTCGAATGGAGGAGGGAGTGGGGGGACGGGGGAAGGAAGGAGGAAGGTGCTCGAATGGAGAAAGGAGTGCGGTGGGGGGACGGGAAGGAAGGAGGAAGGCAGGCTGAAGGAAGAAAGGGAAGTAAATGAAACACGGAAGAGGGCACAATGTGGAGACAGGACTTATCTGACTCTTAGGCTCCTCCTCAGTCCTAGCCACTGGATCACTTGATTTCAGTGTCCAGAACAAGCCTTGACCTCTAGGTGTGAAGGTGAGAGGGTTCTGCTAGAACCTCCTGAGGTCAGAATGCAAAGGGCAAGGGGCAGTACAAGTCACAGAAGTTGGCACATGGGGATCAGGAAGTAAGGGCTAGAGAGCAAGAGTTGCCAGGTGGGGCCTCTGCTCCATCACTCATAGGCACAGCCTGGCCTCTCTCATCTGAAAAAAGACCAAGTACTAAACTCATGGCTATCTTCAGAGGGTGGCGGGTGGAGTCAGGATCTAGCAAACCAATGACAAAGCTTTGCAGACCGTCAATTAAGTGTAGACAAATCAGTGTGAATTAATAATATGAGGAATTTGGTTTCCCCACTTTGTGTGAGGGATGAGGAGCAACAAACATTTGTATCAGGTATTTGCAAGCACTGCTACCAACCACCAAGGAGACCTGTGGGTCAGGCTCAGGGGTGAGGCCACCACTGTGCTCAGAGTCTGCAGCTCAGAGCTGAGCTGCTGCCCTAGTAGGCCAGAACTTGTGAGAGCTCCAGTCCTCCATGTCCTGCCCCCAGGCCCTCCAGAGCCAGACCATTCCTCAGTTTAGAATAGAGTAAGGAAATCACCTGGAGGCGAAAATATTGACCATCTGACCTGTTTAATTTTCTTAAGATTTCCTGATTTTATATTGTTTCACAATTCATTGAAGTATATGAGGAGGTTTCATAACCAGGGCACCAAGTAATCCCGTTTTATTTTCATTCTACAGGTGAAGAAATTGAGGCTGAAATCAGGTAGCACAAGGCAAATTGCCAGAAACTTGGATTTGAGGATTTCTAACTCAGGGTGAGTCTCCTGAGAATCCATGTTCAGAGAACTGCAGGACTCAAACGAAAGGAAGAGGGACAGAGAGGGGACGGAGAGGAAAGAGGAAGAAAAGGAGGGTGAGAGAGAAGAGAAAAGAGAACGAGAAAGCACTTGAGAGATGAGGAGAGGTCGCAGCTGTCACACTCGCAGTGTGTAGGTAGGATCCAATTCTGTGCACACAAATCTGTTGCTTGGTGCACATTCAGTGTGCCAGCTGTCGCCACTGCCACTAGACCTACTTGTGCAACTCCGCTCTCCCACATCTGCAGGATCAGGATTTTGGCACAGCCCCTGAGCTGCGACTCTTCTCCATGGCAGAGGGTTATCACTTGGCAGTTAGTCCTAGGGTTGTGCAGCGGTGAGCCGCCAATCATCACATGGCCATGGTCCTTGGCCAGTACTGGCGAGAACAGGCATCGGGATGCTTGGGAGTGCTCCAAAGCCAGGGCGCTTGGATACCGAGCTGCACTCTGCCAGGACTGATATTCGCAGTGACCGAGAAAGGTGACAGGATCGCGGTGACTCCTGCCCTTTGGCACCGCCCGCCGCAGAACTCCCTGCAGCAGGTGAATTAGACGTAAGGATGCAAAAGATAAAGGAATGGAGGGAGGGAATCAGCCCTGGTTGCCGCTTGCTGACAACTCCCTCTCGTTGCGGATCGCCATAGCCTGCTAGCCAGGGAGAGCCATCGCTTGGCTCCAGTCTCCCCAACTCACCCCGGATGAAATGCAAGAAACTAAGTAGAGGGAAACAACGTCCCCAACTCGTATTCCCTCTGCCGCTGCCCCACTGTTTTCTCCTGGTTTGCCAAGGGTCCCAGCAACTCTGTGCGCCATAAGCCTGGAGTCGTCCTAACTTAGTAGTTCCCCGCTGCACCTGGGCGTGCGCGCTCTACAAAAGGGCCACTCACAGCAGGGCCTCTAAGTGGGGTCGCGACGCCGGATCTCCTGCGTTGTCTCGTTTGAAACTGCAGAGCACCCTGACTCTAGAGCTGTGACAGGGTCAGAAAGGATTGGGACCCCAATTATTCCCCTGCCTCTCAAGTCCCCTGTGGTATCCTCTCACCCCCTTCCTCCAACAGCCAACCTTTTCGGGTCTGTCACAGCTCTCTTTGTCACGAAGCACTCTGACCTAGGGATCTTTCTGGAATCACTTCTGGCAGAGGCCAGGCACTACAATAGCCTAGGTTCCCAGATTAGGGACATCCGCCTAGTTAGCGGATATACTCTCCGCAAACCGCATTCCCACTAGGTGCCTGGGCCAGGCCGTCGAGCTGCCTCCAGACAGGGCCCGGCCGGCACCCCCCCCCCCCCCCCCCCCCGGCCGGCCCCCCCCCCCCCGCCCCGGCCGGGCCAACATCGAGGGGCACCAGCCTTAGGGCGCTGCTGCTGGACCCTGGCTGGAGGAGAGGGAACCCACAGCCGTCTATTTTATGCCAAGAGCACTTGTTCCGATGAACTTTTATCTGGAATCCTGAAGGGTCTTAAAACACGGAGAAGTTGCAGTTCTCCGGACATTTGCACAAGTCTCAGCGTGGGCGTGCTCGCACGTTGCATGCAAGGCATCTGCGAACTCAGTCACCCGCACTGGGATTTAGGGCGAAAGAGTATCAGTTAAAGATCACTCAGCGGGGACGCGCACTGTATTTACCTCACTCAGCCGGTGAGGTCAGTCTTATCGCCCGGGTTTTAGGATTAGGAAAGGAGGTCTAGGGAGATTACCGGACTTGCTCGGAGTCACGCTTACAGTAACTCAAACACTAAGGCAGGCTCTAACTCCCAGCCCCATGGTCCTCCCGCTCCTTTCTCCCTCAGTCACCTCTACAGAGCCCCCCACCCCAGGGTGTACTCCATAAAATATTTGTGGGTCGAATTCCAGGATGTAGTCCTGCCTGCTGCAGTTTCTACAGTAGGGTGTGTCTAAGCTATATTTGTTTTCCGTTCATTCAGGTATTCCGCTGTGCGTGCGGGCCTACTGTGTGCAGGCCCTGTGTATCTCAGAAGCAACTGCCTTACATTCTGGGGAGGACCGGCCTCTAGTTCCCAGCTGGAGGCGGTTTGACCTGGAGTGTCAGAATGTGGGGAGCTGAGGAAGCTCCTGGGTGGCACAGAAGTCAAAGAGGAGGAGCGAAGAAAACTCGAGAATTCCGCGAAAGAGTCGGCAGCGAGGGACCTGCCGACTGGGGGAGGAGCGGGCAGGTGGAGCGGGGGTGGGTGGAGACAAGAGGGGGAATTAGACGGCAGAACACCAGAGCCACCTAAGCCCCTCCAAAAACCCAAGGAGCGTTAAGTTGCTGTGGGGAAGGCTTGGGGAAGCTTGGGAGAAGGAAGTCCTTTGTAGATTCCACCCCGCCTCCAAGGCCAGCCTGGGTGGGCCACGGTTAACTGGAGCGAGATGGCCAAAGCCATAGGTGTGTCCCGTTCAGAAAGATCTAGGGACCTTCTTGGTCGATGTCTCGCGCCTGGGCATCCCGGTGAAAACTGCTTGGGTTCAGTTTTCCATTGCATGAGTTTTGGTGGAATCTGGTCCCAGGTGGAGTCCAGCCTCCTGCCCCGCAGCTGGGGCCGCACCTGACCTCCCACGCCCGCCGAGGGGACAGCAGACCGCGCACTCCTCCCGGCTGCGCGGCACCTGCGCCCAGGAGCCGGCCGGCTGGGTGGCTGGGCGCGGATCCCGGGCAGGTCGCGGAGGCGGAGGGGCGGGCTGGGGGCGGGCGCGGGGACAGGCCCTGCCCCTCCCTCCCCCGCCTGCGGGTCGCAGCCGGGACGCCGTGGCGGGGCAGCAGGGAGGAACCGCGCCGCCTCCGAGAGTCATTGGAGGACCGTCGCCCGGAGCTGATAAATAAGGGCCGGTCCCGCGGCCGCCAGCCAAGTTGGACGTCGCGACCCGAGCTAGGGCCAGGTCAACCCCGGGAGGCGAAGCCAGGCGACCCCCGATCGGCCATGGCCTCGCTGCTGGGAACCTACCCGTGGACCGAGGGACTCGAGTGTCCTGCCCTGGAAGCCGAACTGTCGGATGGGTTGTCTCCGCCGGCCGTGCCCCGACCTCCGGGGGACAAGGGTTCCGAGAGCCGCATTCGGCGGCCCATGAATGCCTTCATGGTGTGGGCCAAGGACGAGCGGAAACGCCTGGCGGTGCAGAACCCGGACCTCCACAACGCGGAGCTCAGCAAGATGCTGGGTGAGTGCTCGCGGGGCCCGGCTGCACCCGGAGGGCTCGGCGGGGGCGCGGGGCGATCGCCGCAGCGACACCTCCGGGGCCGAGCGGTGCAGCCATGGTTCCGACAGACCCCTCCCTCCTTGGGGAGATCCGGGCCCCAGGGGGCAGGTGCGACCGGGTCCCGAGGACGGGCGGAAACGTCGGGCCTGGGTGGAACCGCGTTTGCTGGAAGACCGAGGCAGGAAACCCCACCATTCCCTACGCCTATGACTGGGACGGAGGGAGATTGTCACAGATAAAAAGATAACGAACATACGTCAAGAGCGGCCTCACCGGGAAGAATCCCTGCTTTGAGTTCAATTAGTTAACAGCCCAGACCCAAAAGCAACACCAACCCCCCAAAAAGTCCACCCAGTGTAGACTAGATTCGCTCACTTATTTATTGCAGAAGTGTAGATAACTTGAGGAAGATGCGCAGAGCAGCTGGGGGTGGGGGCGGCTGTCCTGGAGCCCAGTGCTTCTTAAATGCTGCTGGTAGATAATGGGGACAGAAGGGACCGACAAACCAGAGTCCCCATGACTTCCACATGAAGATGCCACCGTTCCAAGAACCCCGGTTATCTGTCGATTTTCTTTTCTCTCCTGTGTTTGGAGGGAAAGGTTCTTAATTTTTTTCGTTGTATTTATTTTTATGGTTTGTGCATATGTGTGTGTGTGTGTGTTTGTGTGTGTTTGTGGGGGCATGTGCACCACAGGGGCATGTGGGGAGGTCAGAGCACAACCTGCAGAAGTAGGTTCTCTTCTTCCATCATGTGGGTCCTAGGGATTGGAGTTCAGGTTGTCAGTCTTGGCACCAAAGGCCTTAACCCACTGAGCCATCTCAACAGCCCTAGAGCAAAACGTTTTTCAACCTTACCTTACTTCCAATGTCTTTGCCCTTAAACGTGGCTTTTATTCGTTTTAACCACATTGTGCAAACAGCAGGAGCCAGGCCCTGTGAGGAGAGACACGCATGGCATGGTCATTCAACTCCACCCGCTGGGATTGGAGCCCTTCCGTTTTCTGTCTGAGTGCAGGCCCCTTCCTCCAGCAGAATCATAGAACAGGGGCTGACTTTATGGTGACTGAAGTCCTGGGTCTGGAGAGAAGGTCTAGGCTGCTAGCTGGTTAAAGGCCTCCCAAGCAGTTGGTGAGGACTGCTGGGTTCAAAGCGCCTTTTGCCTGCAGTCCAGCCTTATGGCTAGCTGTGCCCACTGTGCATTGGTGAGCACTGTCTTCCGGGCTCTTCTGTATAAAAGAATACCCTGTGTGTTGTGTGTATTTTGTACTGTCTTAGCATAATGAGGGACATATTAATACATACAATATTTGTTTCTTTGACCCAAAACCTTATATTTTTCTTCAGATTTTAGATAAAATTTTTTTAATGAAATCCTAATTTTCCCCTCATCTCCGTATTGATTCGTTCATAGCTGAGAAGAGAGCATTCCTAGGAATAACCAGAGTCCTGTTGCAGGCTTGGGTGGGAGGAGAGAAAAGGCTGCTGAAGAATCCAGGTTGCCTGCTTAGGGGCAAGAGCAGGGCAGGCATTTTTTTATGAAATCCTAATTTTCCCCTCATCTCCGTATTGATTCGTTCACAGCTGAGAAGAGAGCATTCCTAGGAATGACCAGAGTCCTGTTGTGCAGGCTTGGGTGGGAGGAGAGAGAAGGCTGCTGAAGAATCCAGGTTGCCTGCTTAGGGGCAAGAGCAGGGCAGGCAGGGTCTTCCCAGACAAAGGCTGATCTCATCTGGGATAGGGCACAATTGGTTTTGCAAGAAAGATTCCAATTCCTTCAGCCTTAGCCACAGCCCTCAGCACTGGGTGCAGGAAAACAAGGGACTCATCTTGTTGAAACAGAGACTCTGCACATTAACAGATGCAGCAGCATCGCCCCTGTGGTCTTCCGTCCTGAGCCCTTTCTCCCCTTTCTGACTGATGAGAGGCAAGACCTGGATGTGACACTCACAGTTTTTGTCACTATGTACTCCCCAAACTTTAGCATTAAAACCTAGGTACAGGTGAAAGTGGAATGATTTAAGTATATTATGAATGCATTAAGTGAACTATTTCTAGTATTTATGAATAAGAAAGTATATCACGGGAATTAGTCACTTGGTAGCACTTAAAATGGAACTTGTATTTTATTAACACAATAACATCTGGACATTTAGAAACAAAGAGTCACATTTTATATTCAGACCATGGACAGAGTAGAGGGGAGTGTCTGGATGGTAGACCTCTTGCAAGAGCTTTGTGGCCTCAGGCACAGGCTGGGAACCCATGTCCACTTCTTTATTTGGAGTTCTGAACACACTTCAAGTCATTCTTTTAAGTGACAGCTAAGTACAGAAATGGATGACACCACAGAATAAATGATAATTGCTGTCCTCGAGCGCTCAGCACCTTTTCACGCTCATGGAGCCAGCCAGTGTGAGCCCCAAGGATTGGCACACATGACCTTATGCTTGCCACTGTGTGGCGTGTGCCCACTGGGAAGATGTGGCTCATTTCCTTACAGGGCAAGAAGCTCTGAAACGTACTTCAGGACACTTTAAGGTCATGGGGAATCATGCTAAATTTACAGAGTCTTGAGCCCACCTTGGGAGGTAAGTTTAAAGCATCTAGATGTGACCCTTTCTGGAGCCAGGACTGCATAACACCCATTGAAAGATGGAAGAGGGGTACTGAGGAGATTTGCAAAACATCAGGCAGGCAGGGAATGACCAGAAAATCAAGTACAAGCAGCATTCTAGCACCAGTGGGCCACTAGTAAGGGTGATTTGACTCAAGAGAGCTCTGAGCTGGGTACTGGCAACTGCTCTTTACTTTATAGTGAGGAACACAGACACAGGGAAGTAAAGGATTTACTTCTGTGTAGAGTCCTGCAATGGTCAAAGGGCCCATATTCAATGGCAGCTGCTGCTGCTGGTGGTGGTGGTGAGTGTGTGTGTGTGTGTGTGTGTGTGTGTGTGTGTGTGTGTGCTCCCATGCCTGTGTGCAGATTCTAGCGTTCTGGTCATGCCTAGGCCTTCATATAGCAGAGTCTATTTGACTTTCAGAGATAAGGAATAGTTACTTGGAGCCTAAATGAGAAACTATAATCTACTTGCATTTATGGACCGATTGGCTTGGCTGAGCCTAGGCTTCTTTGCACAAGGGCTGTGAGAGTCATACATAAGTAAACATTACAGTGTCACTTCCTCAGAGGCAGGGAAATTTCATTACAGGGCGCACATGGATAGAATTGACCCAGTCAATACTGTGGTCCTTAGATTGTTTTTTACTTTCTGTTGCTAATTGGGTCAGGTGAGCCTTCCCTGGGAGTCCCACACTGTTTGGATTACCTGGTGGTTCTGGGTGAGGTGATGGTTTTTAAGCATTCTTAATTCTGTATGAATTAACTCTGTGGGTCCAAACAGGAGGGGTTTGTTTAGCCCCTCAGCGTGAGGCAACTGAGATAGGGAGAGAATGGAAGTAGGCTGTGAGAGGGAGGCTGGTAGATGGAGTGAGGAACAGAGATCGGTGGATATGGGATGCTAGAAGGGCAGTGCACCCCCCCACCCCCGCCATCAGTGCAGATGCTGAACGCGGCCTTCTCTGGTTTCTGTGATCAGGAAAGTCCTGGAAGGCGCTGACGCTGTCCCAGAAGAGGCCCTACGTGGATGAGGCAGAGCGCCTGCGCCTGCAACACATGCAGGATTACCCCAACTACAAGTACCGGCCTCGCAGGAAGAAGCAAGCCAAGCGGCTCTGCAAGCGCGTGGACCCCGGCTTTCTCCTGAGCTCCCTCTCCCGAGACCAGAATGCCCTCCCGGAGAAGAGCAGCGGGGGCAGGGGGGCGCTGGGGGAGAAGGAGGACAGGGGTGAGTACTCCCCAGGTGCCGCCATGCCCGGACTGCGGGGCTGCTACCATGAGGGTGCAGCTGGTGCCCCTGGCAGTGTGGACACGTACCCCTACGGGCTGCCCACACCCCCGGAGATGTCTCCCCTGGACGTGCTGGAGCCGGAGCAGACCTTCTTCTCCACCCCGTGCCAGGAGGAGCGTGGCCACCCTCGTCACATCCCGCACCTACCAGGGCCGCCTTATTCACCGGAGTTCACCTCTAGTCCCCTCCACTGCGGCCACCCTCTAGGTTCCCTGGCCCTCAGCCAGTCCCCAGGGGTCTCTATGATGTCCACTGTTCCTGGCTGTCCCCCATCTCCTGCCTACTACTCCCATGCCACCTACCACTCTCTCCACCCCAACCTCCAGGCCCACCTGGGCCAGCTCTCCCCACCTCCTGAGCATCCTGGCTTCGACACCCTGGATCAGCTGAGCCAGGTGGAACTTCTGGGGGACATGGATCGAAATGAATTTGACCAGTATTTGAACACTCCTGGCCACCCTGACTCTGCTTCAGGGGCTGGGACCCTTGGTGGGCATGCTCCACTCTCCCAAGGGACCCCAACGGGCCCCTCAGAGACCAGCCTCATCTCTGTCCTGGCAGATGCCACCGCCACATACTACAACAGTTACAGTGTGTCATAGAGCGTGGAGGCATGGAGCCTGGCCCAGCCCTGCTGCCCTCTCCATGTGGAGGGCTGAGCAGAGCCAAAACTGTGCGATGCCACCAGCCCTCAGTGAGAGGAAGATCAGAACTGCTTCCCCAGAGCCTTCATCCTAAAGCCAGGATCCAGTGCCACATCTGCCCCTTCAAAAGGGTTTCTTGGCTGCACCCTGGGAGCACAGCCCTGAGAGACTGTTTGCAGTGAGACTTTCTCTGCCCGCTCTCCCTTTTCACATCAGTGTAGCTGATGGCAGGAAGCCCCGTGCATTGGAGCCTTCTGTCTTTGATGGAGCCACTTCTGATCTATGGTGCTCTTGGTGAGAAGAATCCAGGGCTGGAATTGGGTCCTGTGGTCCATCTCAGTTCAGTCTGAAATACTAGCAAATCCCCACCTGGCTCCACTCTCTCTAACTGTCCTCTCTCTGTAAAGTAAGGGTGGACTTGACAGCCAAGCCTTCTGCCCCATGGACCAGGTTACTGTCCTCTCAAGGAAAGTGGGAGAAGTGTCTGGTGCATGACCCAGCAATGGACAGCCTCACAGGAACTTCCAGGCTTTCTGTTTTTCTGCTCTCCCCTCCAAAGCTACCCCAGAATTCCAAAGGGACTCCTCTATTTGAGAAAAACATGCACCCTGGGGCTGGCAAGATGGTTCCGTGGGGAAAAGTGCCTGTTGCCAAGCTTGATGACCCGAGTTTGATCCCTGGAACCCACACGGTGGAAGGAGAGAGCAGACTCCTGCAAGTTGTTCCCTGACCTCCCCATGCATGCCATGGCATGTGCCTCCCCCACCACATGTGTGCTCAAGTACACACACACACACACACACACACACACACACACACACTAAATATAACTTTTTAAAAACAAAATGTCCACCGTGATTTGGGAATTTAACCAATATGTTCTTGCATCACTGAAGGTGAAATTGAACTCAAAGTATTCTCTTAAAATATATTTTTAGATACATTATTCTTTGCTGTACACACTTCAGCAGACTGTAAGGGAAAGAACTTCTCACCAACTCCCAGTGGAATAACCCAGAGTCAAGGACCTAAAAGGACTTTGCCATGAAGCACCACCACTGTCTTCCCATCCAGATGTATTGATTTCCTGAGCAAAACGGCAGTACGGTCCCTCTCCAGATGCAGAGGGGGAGTCCTTCTGGCTGTGCTGGCTGTCCTTTATCACCCTCCACTCCTGAACTGGATCCTTTCAAAGCATTCCTGACTCTAAATCCCATACATGATCTCCTTCCCTTTGTATCCCAAACAGAAACGCGCTGTGACTCTGAAGACGTTTCTGAGCTCTGGTCCCACCCCAGACACCACCATCCTTCCAAGCCTCCTTTGAAGGAACGTGTCTAACCCTGAGCTAACAGACTGGTTTTTTGATGCCTGCGTACTATTGCCTGTATGAAATGTGTGTTTTATATACTCTGCTGTTAACTTCACCTTATATTTTATATTGTTGACAAATCTTTTTTTTCTTCAAGAAGTCTTATTATAAAATCACTTATAAGATATGATTAATCGTTAGGTTATTACTTATATACCATTTGGTGATAAATAGTAAATGGTTGATGATATAATCGGCTGGTGCCCAGTCCCAAATGTGTATTATTAATCTTGTAAAACAGTATCACAGACGTTAAGCTAATCTGTTCCATTTTCACAAGAATTACACATGCTTGGAACAGTTGTGAATATTGATTTGTCAGACATATTTAATTTAAATAAATGTTTTTGTACTGTGCCCATTTTATCCTTTGAAATAGAGTATTGTGTTGGACGGGGATGATTTCAGGCTAGGCACAGGTATTATTACACTCAGTGGTACTTGTGGTGGTGTTCAAATTGTTTTGGGTCAACTTTTTAATTACAAAAAGTTGCTGTTATTACATAGGGCCTTTTATTTTTATTTTATCTTATGGGTCATCCAAGAGAGATGAACTCCAATTGCACACATTGGGAGCAGTGTTTGTTGCCTTTGACAGTGAAGGAGAAAACCAATCCGCAGCCCACATGAACGGTTTTCTTTATCATGCCTGTAAAATGGAATGAGTTAACCACAGGCTTCCCAGACACAGAAAGCTACCTCCTGTGCTACTTTTTCTAGTGTTCACGGCATGGTATAGCAATGTGCAATGGCCCTTGGGACTTGATGGCACACTGTGGGGAAGGCAGGGAGCACAGCCTGGGAATCAAAGGTCGAGACAGCTGGAGCTGTCCAGGATTACACTCCCAGTCACAACGCATCTGGAAAGCAGCATTGCTCAGCCCCTGTGCAGGCTACCTCCTGCTGGCCTCTCTCCAGTGAAGCAGTTCGTTCATGTCAAGGGTAGTCATGTGCCTGCTCAGGCCCCCTGGGCCAAGGAATGGGTCTTGGGAGGACCCACCTGGGCCTCTGCTCATCTGTTTTGATGACAATAGTCATTACTTTAATGGCATTGTATAGATGCAGGGAGCTTTACAGAAAGGTTTGTGGGCTGTTTCTTATCCACACCCCAGGTGGGGCCCGTCATTTGTCATCCACCTGTCCCATTGTGCAGCCAGAGACACTGAGGCCCAGAGTGGGAGCTGGCATGGGCTTACCACAGTCATGGAGGGGAGGCCACAGCACCCACCATACACATTTGTTGGCAGCATTTCAGTCAAGCAGTTTCATGGCTGGCAGCTTAGTCCTGTTTTCGGTGTTTGGTTTTTGTTTGTTTGTTTTTAATGTGGTTTTATGTTGTAGCCCAGGCTGGGATTAGGGCATGTGCCACCACACCCAGTCAGAACTGAGCTGTTTGGGAAGTCTCCGATTCTTCTAGGTCCATTCTCCTGGAACCATGTTCCTAAGGCTTTTGTAGGCATGCTTCTCAGGCTCTGAGATACATTCTACATTGCTGAGGGGACTGGCTTGCACCTGTTGCAATGTAGGCTGGAGAAACAGCTTGGAGATGGAACATAAGCTTTCCTTTTTAAAAAAAAATATTTTTATTTATTATTTTTATTTTATGTGTATGCATGTATTGCCTGCGTGTAGGGTAAGTGCACCCGTGTCGTGCAATGCCTGTGAGGACAGAAAAGACTGTCTGATCCCCTGGAACTGGAGTTACATCCCCTGGAACTGGGGTTAAGAACAGTTGTTAGCTGCCATGTGGCTGTTGGGATTCAAACCCAGGTCTTCTGCAAGAACAGTCAGTGTTCTTATCTGCTGAGCTATCTCTCTAGCCTATTACTTCTTTTTAACTATGCATGGAAGCAGGGCATGGTGCCCCACACCCTTTGTCTCAGCACTCATGAGGCAGAGGCAGGCCGATCTCTGTGAGTTCAAGGCCAGGTTGGTCTACAGAGCAAGTTCCAGGCCAGCTGGGGCTACAGAAGAGACCCTGTCTCAAAAAGACCAAATAAAATATAAAATAATAAATGAAATGAAATAATAAAATAATAAAATAAATAAAATATCCATGGAACGTTTATGTAAGCAGTCACATTCTGCGTAACCTTCAGACTGGAGATTAAACTCAGTTGGCAGAGTGCTAGCCTAGCATGCATGGATGAGCCTTATAAACTGGGTATGATGGCACACTCCTGTAATCCCAGCATCCTAGAGATGAAGGCAGGAGAATCTGAAGTTCAAAGTCATCAATTTCAAAACAAAACACACA